TAGGGCTTGTGCACTTGCCAGACAGAGACAGACAGAGAGACAGAAAGCAAGAAATCACCCCCCAGGGGGGTTGGCCACGCTGCAGTCCCTTCTCCTTTCTCCTCTCGGGATCTTGGGCACGCATGCACATGCGCCTGGCGTGAGTTTTAAGCCACCAGGTCCAGGACGCGAACCACAGTTGACTACGTGGGAGTCCAGCGACATAGCCATTACGCTAACTGCTGGTCCCCATCGCTTGATTTTTTGGATTCTCTTTGTGCTTATATTAGTATACTTGATGATGGTCCATATGTTTCTGAGATCCTGTTCACTTTTTGTAATTCTTTTGTTTCTGTTCCTCAGACTGGTTAATTATAATTGACATGTTTGAATTTGCTTATTTGTTGTTCTGCCTCCTAAAATCTGTTGTTGACCCCTCTCTGGTAAATATTTAATTTCAGTTATTAATACTTTTCACTCATAGAAGTTCATTTGGTGTTCTTTAGTGTCTGTTTATTACTATTTTATATTTGGTAAGCTGTTCTCATTATTTTCAAGGCATGATTTCATTTAGTTTTAAAAATTATTCATAAAGGGAACCAGCAGTTAGCGTAATGGCTATGTCACTGGACTCCCATGTAGTCGACCGCGGTTCGCGTCCCGGACCCGGTGGCTTAAAACACACGCACATGTGCGTGCGTGCCCAAGATCCCAAGAGGAGAATGGAGGAGAAGAGATTGCAGCGTGGCCATCCCCTCTGGGGGGTGATTTCTCGCTTTCTGTCTCTCTGTCTCTCACTGTCTGTCTGGCGAGCGCACGCGCCCTATAGTAAAAAAACCTCTCAAAAAAATTATTCATAAATACGGACCGTTGGACTCCCACATAGTTGACCATGGTTCGAATCCCTGACCTGGCAACTTAAAACTCATGCTGGGCACGTGTGTGTGTGTGTGTACACATACGTGTGTCCCCAAAATCCAAAGTGGAGAATGGAGGAGAAGGGATTGTAGCATGGCCCTGTAGAGGGCTGATTTCTCACTTTCTGACTCTCTGTCTTTCTCTGTTAAGCACATATGCCCTATTGCAAAACTCTCTCCTCTAAAAAAAAAAAAAAAACCTTAAGTAACTCATTTAAAATCTTAAGTTGAGTTTCTGGGCTTTCTTGAGGACTATTTTATTGATTGCTTTTTCTCTTGTCTGAATATGAGCCATACTTTCTTGTTTCTCTGCATATCTTACAAGATTTTTCAGTGAAAAATTTGACTTAAAAATTTTTTTTTGAGATTTACTTTTTAAGAGAGACAGACAAACAAGAACTACTCCCCACCGCCAGCAATGGTCTTGCCTTGCCACAATTTCCATTGCCTTCACCACCTTCTAGACAATCAAGATCACAGGTACATACAGCATGTCCATGTTTACTCCAGAACCAAATCCAGGCCTTCCCATGTGTCTCTAGTATTGCGCACCAGTACCCTTACCGCCTGCACCACTGCTGGTGGGCTAGGACTTCTGTAATCATGTTTCTACATTTTTTGGAGAGCTTTTTGCTATAGGGCATGTACACTCTCCAGAAAGACAGAGACAGAAAGCGAGAAATCACCCCCCCAGGGGGATGGCCACAACGCAATCCCGGCAATCCCTTCTCCTCCATTCTCCTCTTGGGATCTTGGGCATGCATGCACACAACGCCCAGCGTGAGTTTAAGCCACCGGGTCCAGGACTCGAACCGCGATCGACTACATGAGAATCTAGCAACATAGCCATTACATTATCTGCTGGTCCCAAGATGTTCCTACTTTTTACATGTTTGTTGTTGTTTTAGCTGTTACTATTAAGTAAATTTACAGATCTAACCCTATTAAATCTGTTTTTTGAAGAGCTTATATTTTATTTCATGAAATGCCAGAAACAAGTCAGTATTGCAGTGTTTGCTGGGGGGATGGGGAGAGGAGAGTATCTCTGCATTGGGACATATTTTAATACTCAACAAGCAGTTGAAACTTTGTCTTAGCCTTCACTTGTTAAGTTTCTTTTTTTTTTTTTTTGGAGAGGTTTTCGCTATAGGGCGCGTGCGCTCGCCAGACAGACAGAGACATAGAGACAGAAAGCGAGAAATCAACCCCCAGGGGGGATGGTCACGCCGCAATCCCTTCTCCATTCTCCTCTTGGGATCTTGGGCACGCACGCACACGCGCCCAGCGTGAATTTTAAGCCACCGGGTCCGGGATGTGAACTGCAGTCGATTACATGGGAGTCCAGCGACATAGCCATTACGCTAAATGCTGGTTCCCAACTTGTTAAGTTTCTTGATAAAACTGATAATTGCTTTCATTCCTGAATGGCATAAATAAAAAAAAACAAAGGAGTTTCATTTTAACCTTTCATGCACAGTAGGTCTTCTATGTTTTGTTTTTGTTTTCCTCTATAAATCATTAGGTAAATAAATGAGGTATATAAATAAACAACATTGTGAGAATGTGGTTTTTATATAGTCTGGTTAGTGAATTATGACATCTACTGACCTGGTCAATTTGGAGATACGGAGTAGAGGAACATTTTTATTTATCACTTCTTTATTGGTTTTCCTATAAACATTATTGTGAAATACTGCACTTTGTCAAATACCTTACTTTTACTAGTTTAGCTCATTTTGTTTCCTGTGAGGGGCTAGCTATTACATGGATTATACTTTGATTGCAGCACAACCCGGTGTTTTGGGCAAGTCTGCAGAATACCAGTACATGTCATGTGACCGTTGTCCTTGCTCTGACATTTTCAGTAGCAAATTTACCAAAAGTTTACAGAGTTTACTTGAAGCACCTAAACTTTTATTTTTTATTTAGGTTACTTACAACAAGAAAACCTTATTTCGACTTGCCAGACTTTTATTTTGGAAAGTTCAAATCTAAAAGAATATGCAGAACACTGTACAGATGAAGGTTTTATCCCAGCTTGTTTACTGGTGAGTTATTTGTTCCTTAAATATTTCATCATTGACAACTTAAGAAACTATAACAGTCATAAAGTATAGCTTATAAGCAAAATTGAAACTGGCGGAAATTTCATGGTTTATGTTCATGTATGACTGATAGGTCTATAGAAAGACATCGGTTCTTTTTACATGTTTATATGAAAGATAATAAGTGGGTTACAATTTGGCCTCTGAGAATCAGTTTCAAAATGATGCTTTCATTTCTGATTAGTTTCACTTCTTGTTTCTGAGTGTATTCTTTTTTTTTTTTTAAACTCCCTGGCCTCTATCTGACTGCTTACTTCAGACAAGCATAAACCATGTTTTGGTATCTTGTTACATCTTCTGTACATATCCCTACATCCCCTCAGCATCATTTGGTATATAATGGATACTTAATCTGAGATAAATCTGACCCAAACTTGTCAGAGAAGCAAAAAGTTTATTTAAGCTGAAGCATGACAGTGAGCCTCCAGGAACAAAGACTTCAGAGGACTGTAATGGGCAACGAAAGAGAGTTACAAAACTTTATTCACCTTTAAGAATTCCCAACATTGGTTTACAAGAATAGCACAAGTCTGTGATTCTTTTTTTTAATGGTTCATATATTTTTCACTTAGTAACATAGCTTCAGGCAGGAGGAGGTGGGGTTACAGTGAACAGTATAAAGTCTGTGATAAATTAGGGTACTTTAATGCCAGCTAGTTGGTAAATTCCACTTAAGGATAGGCTGGCCACTTATTGCAGTGGTTAATGGAGCCAAACTCTACACAACTGACCATAGTTCGTATCCTGGTTTCAGCACTTGAAAAACCACTGAGCATGTATGTGTGCTTGTCCAGAATCTTGACAGGAAAGAGGAATGGAGAGAAAGAGATTACAGCATGGCCACATCCTATTGTAGGTGCTTTCTCTCTCTCTGGCCAACATTGGTGTCCTCTAAATTTTTTTAAAAAGGAAAGAAAGAAATGTTGATCAGTTACTTCGGACAGGTGTTTCATGGGTGTAATAGTGACTTCATATCTTTATCGCTCCTAGGCCAATTTTAGCCAGACCTTCTAATTTTCAGATAGCCTTTTATCCTTTTCTCAAGGACGTACATTGATTAACATTTTTTAGTGCAGAGCAAGCCAGGTGGTGGCAGTGGTTAAGGTGGCTGGATCCTATATGACTGACTGTGTGGTTCAAGTTCTGGACCTACTAATTTGAAAAATACATTGGGTGTATATGCAGGCATGCTCAAAATCCTGAGATAAGAATGGACAGGGAGAGAGTGTGCATGATCATCCCAGCTGGGGGTGATTTCTCACTTGCTTTCTCTGCAATATGTTTACATATCCAATAGCAAAGCTGAAAAAAAATTTTAGCACAAGTTCGATTAGGTTTCTGTAACTACAGTCTTTCATACTATGGTCCAGAATATGTAAGTTATTTTACAGGCCAAGAATCTCCAGCTAGTCTATGAGATTGTCTTCTAAACTCCCTAGAAGCAATACGATCATAATAAACCATAGCTAACATTCCAAGTCCGTACACCTCTCAAAACTTAAATCAGTTTGAAAAGCCTTACTATTATCTCCATTCTCATTTCCCCCTTTTGATTAAGATCTTTCAATGATAACACATTGGTGACCATCATTAAATTGTTGAAGAAGTATTCTTTTTTTAAGATTATTTAATTTTATTATTTTTATTTTTAAGTTGACGAGAAAGAGAAAGTTGCCAGGTCCAGGACTTGAAGGGTGGTCAGCCATATGAGAGTCTAGCTTCTTAACCACCACACCACCTGCCAGCCCCAAGGGCGTATTCTTATAGTGGTCCCATGTAGCTGAGAGTGTTATCTCCAGAATGTCACATCCTTTGGTGGGAGGAAATAGGCAGCATCATGTGTAAAGGCTAGGGCCAAATTGGAAAGGCAGCATAAAGAACTGCATTGAACCTAAGCTAGGTTTACCAGGGAACTGTGGTATTTTGAGTTGTGATCTGATATAACCTGGATTGATATAGTCCTGAACCAATCTGAGATACAAAGCATAATTAGTTTTAACGTTTTTTGAGTAGGTAAATTAACTACAAAGATTACAACGACAATTTGTAGTTCTGAATGAAATAGAGCTTAGGCCTGAAGGCAGCCAACTAAAATCAGAAGGAGATTTTTTCTGTCTTACATTTTGTAACCCTTTGACCTTTGAGTAGAGACTGTAGAGGTATGCAGTGTTCATGTGTTGTTTGAAGAATGTGGCAAAACCAGCAGTCAGTTAAATTTCCTCTTGGCTATAATTTTAGATAGTTTGTCCATTGTTTTTAAGAAAAAGACAAAGCAAGATAGAGGATAGATACAAGTAAAATGGAAAACAGTTTCTAGTTAAACCAAACAATAATCCTTAAAGTTTGACAGGGACCTAAAGACTACGTGTTTCCTAAATTTTGTGTAAAGGTGTGAATAGTTTTACAGCATGACTTACACAAACCTAGTTTGGTATCTTGGGAAAGAAATAGTTCACGCATATTTTGTCATTTTTTGTCCCTATCTAGAAGTTTGAATGTCTATGGTTATGGCATTGAGTATCTTGGTAATTTTTTTGTGTGTGGCCTATGTATCAGGCATGAGATTTGTACCTTGAAATTTATCCTGATACTAAACTTAAAAACAGTGAATAGAAGGGTCCAGCAGGTAGTGTAATGATTACATTGCTGTACTTCCACATAGTTGACCATGGTTCAAGTCCTGGACCCATTGGCTTCAAACTCACACCAGGCGTGTTTGAGTGCATGCCCAAAATCCGGAGAGGAGAATGGAGGAGAAAGGATTGTGATATGGCCATCTCCCTAGGGAGTGATTTCTTGCTTTCTGTCTCTCTGTCTCTGTGTTTCTGGGTAGTGCATGCATCTTACCACAAAAATCTCTCCCAAGAAAAAAAATATTGAGTAGAATTAGAATTTTAAGAATGGTTGTATTACAGTTTTTGTTTTAAAACTTGATTTTTCTTAGTTCCTCTTTTACCAGTGATAATCTTAACAGTTTCTTTGAAGAATAACTTTTTAGTCTTAAATATTGTCAAATTAATTGTATAAAACATAGCAAGAATATTAGTTGGCCTATAGGCTTTTTAAAATTTGTCTTAGAATTTTTTTATAAGCATAACCTCCAGCTAGATCTGAAGAAGAACCTTTGACATTAGGAAATTAACCCAAGGTAGACATTTAACTTTGTCTGCAGTATCTAGTATTTAAGATATTGGGCCTATAGGGAAGTAACAGCTCTTATTTACTTATTGTAAGAGTAGGAACCCTTGAAATCACTCACTTTATATACAATTTTTAAATATGGTCTTTTGGTTAAAGCCTTGATAATATTACCAGTTTTTGTTTTTTTTTTGTTTTTTGTTTTTTTGGGGTTTTTTTTTTTTTAGAGGTTTTTTTGCTATAGGGCGCGTGCACTCGCCAGACAGACGGAGAGAGACAGAGAGACAGAAAGCGAGAAATCACCCCCCAGGGGAGATGGCAGGGGGGATGGCCACACCACAATCCCTTCTCCTCTCGGGATCTTGGGCACGCACGCAGACGCGCCCGGTATGAGTTTAAGCCACTGGGTCCAGGACTCGAACCGCAGTCGACTACATGAGAGTCCAGCGACATAGCCATTACGCTAACTGCTAGTCCTGATATTACCAGTTTTTTTCCCCCTTTGAAGAGGTTTTTGTTATATGGCGCGTGCGCACGCCAGAAAGAGAGATAGAAAGCGAGAAATCACCCCCCAGGGGAGATGGCCGCGCTGCAATATTACCCTTCTCCTTCTTTCTCCTCTCAGGATCTTGGGCACACACACATGTACCCGGCGTGAGTTTAAGCCACCAGGTCTGGAACTCGATCTGCAGTCAGCTACATGGGAGTTCAGCAACATTGCCATTACGCTAACTGCGGGTCCCTATATTACCAGTGTTTTTAATCCCTGTCATAAGGGAACAGATTTTTATTGAATGGAAAGAAACAGCTATCTTGTTATAAACTAAGAATACTCATAGATACTGCTTTGAAAATTTGGAGGGATCAAATAAGAAAAATAATTTTTTCTGTTCCTTGTCTGCAAAAATATACTTTAACAAAAATACTTTAACAACAATAAATTACTTAAGATAGTAAGTTTTCTTAAATTTGGAAAGCAAAACATTTAAGAACCAGAAATGTTTTAACTGAAAGTATAAAAAAAGTATAAAAAGTATAAAAACATTATATTTATCTGAACATTAATCTCAATTTAGCCTATATGTGAACATATTCATTAAAGAGGTTTTTTTTTTTTTTTTTTATGCTGAGCAGTCTTGGACTATAGCTGATTGTAAATGTTTTAGTGACGGGTCAAAACAAGCAATAATTGTAGATGACAATCCGTAGACTAATTATGGTTAAAACTCTCGATGTAGTTGACAAAGATAATTCATTATTTTCATTTCAAAGTAATTTCCAGAATCATACTGACAACATGACCTCAAGACTATCAGACATTTATAAATTTTATTTGATGCTAAGAATACTTATGTCAGTAATATTTATATAAATATAAACTTAAAGGAAATTATCACTTTTTTTTTTTAATTAAAGGTTTTTTTGCAGCAGGGCATATGTACTCATCAGAGAAAGCTGGAGAGAGAAAGTGAGAAATCACTACCTGCCGAGGGGAGTGGCCATGCCACAATTCCTTCTCTGTTCTCCTCTTGGGATTTTGGGCACTCATGCAAATATGTCCAGTGTGATTTTTCAGTCACCAGGTCCAGGATTCAAACCACAGTTGGCCATGTAGGAGTCTAACCCCTTAACCATCACACCATCTACTGGCTGCTCACTTTCTTTTTTGACAGTATTTCGCTTATAAACTAATATCTTTGGGAAGTATATTTCTTTTAAAATTACTATTAAATATTCAATTTTATTATTATTTCTTTTCTATAGTGCATGTGTGCTCATGAGAGAGAGAGGAAACAAGAAAGTGAGAAAGTGAAAAAGCAAGCTGCCAGTGCTTGGACCTGAACTACCATTGGCCATGTGGGAGTTCAGTGCCCCAACCACCATGCTACCTGCCCACCCTGGGAAGAATATTTCTTACAAGCTCAATATTTTATAAAATTTATTCTTGGATGAGTTCACATGGCTTTTAGGGTAGCCGGGGCAGGTTAGGACTGGATCCTTACTATTTGTAAATCCACTAGTTTAGGATCCTAAAACTTCATTTCTAGCCACTATCGTAACTGAAGAAACGTGTAATCAGAATGTCTCCTATTCAAACAGGGAAGGTTCTTTACGCTTAGAAAGTTGATGTAACCCCTAACTAGAGTGACTATTTTCATTTTTAATAACTTTTTTTTAACCTTCTACACATCAGCTACTCTGCAGTCCAGATCTGTTATTATCTTCTGAATGGTTGAATGTTTTTTATTAGGAAATTACTGGTGGTAGTATATGATTTTAGTAATGTTTTCTTTCTTTCTTTTTTTTTTTCAGTCCTTATTTGGAAAAAACTTGACAACAATTTTGAACGAATATGTAGCTATGAAAGCAAAAGGTAAGAATTTGGGGGTTTCAGGACCAACAGATGGTATAATAGTTACATTGCTGGACCCCCACATAGTCAACCCTGGTTCAAGTCCCAGATCTAGCGGCTTAAAACACACCGGGCACATGCATGTACATGCCAAAGATCCTGAGGGAACCAGCAGTTAGCGTAATGGCTATGTCGCTGGACTCTCACGTAGTCGACCGCAGTTCGCGTCCCGGACCCAGTGGCTTAAAACTCACGTTGGGCGCGTGTGCGTGCGTGCCCAAGATCCCGAGAGAAGAATGGAGAAGGGATTGCGGCGTGACCATCCCCCCTGGGGGGGCGATTTCTCGCTTTCTGTCTCTGTGTCTCTCTCCATCTGTCTGGCGAGTGCACGCGCCTTATAGCAAAAACCTTTAAAAAAAAAAAAAAAAAAAAAGATCCCGAGAAGAGAATGGAGGAGAAGCGATCAGGGCGTGGCCATCTCCCCGGGAAGTCTCTTCTGTCTCTCCTACAAGTGCATACACTCTTTAAAAAAAAAAAAAAGAATTTGGGAATTTCTTTTCTGTTTGTTTTATCCAGTATTTACTTACTTGTTTTAATTAGAAATATTTTTAAAGGATATTGATGTCTCATAAAAGCCTTGAGAAAAGTTCTCTGATTTTACTGGGAAATATCTAAATCATTTGTCTTTATATTGAATGATAATATAAGTTGTAAAAACTATGTAATTATAGTCAGAAGATTATCTTTTAAAAAGAGGTAAAACAAAATTCTTGGGTCCATCAGATAGCATAATGGTTACATCACTGTACTTCCACATAGCTGACTATGGTTCAAATCATGGACCCAGTGGCTTAAACCTCACATTGACCCTGTTTGTGCATGCCTAACATCCTGAGAGGAGAATGAAGGAGAAGGGATTGTGACCTGGCTATCCTTGGAGTGATTTCTCACTTTGTATTTCTCTGTCTTTCTGGCAAGTGCACACACCCTATAGCAAAAAAGTAAATAAATAATGAAAACTCTTAATTTTCGGTTATTTACATTGATGTACATGTGTTGCTGCAGGTTTTGTAACAAACCAACATTTAATTTTAACTTGTACGTTATCTAAGTTTAGACATAGGAACCAGTCATAGTTGCTTATAGTTACCAGAACATAAAATAATACTTGACTAAATTAATGATTTTTAGGGAAAAGTTCTGATTCTTTATCTTATTCTGTAATACATTGATAGCTTACAATAGTAACAAGATAATTAGCATTAAAGAATTAGCATAAAATAACCAAAGAAAAACAATCTTAACATTTATTGAATACTAACTGTATGTAGTCTTTGTGCTAAATGTTTTTATATGTTTTTATCTTATTTACTTTTTAAAGTAATCAAGTGAAAGTAATTGATTGTTAGGCTTATTTTATTTAATTTTACTTTTTTTTTTTTTTGGAGAGGTTTTTGCTATAGGGTGCGTGCACTCGCCAGAAAGACAGAGACAGAGATAGAAAGTGAGAAGTCACCCCCAGGGGGGATGGCCACACCACAATCGCTTCTCCTCCATTCTCCTCTTGGGATCTTGGGCACATGCACCCGGCATGAGTTTAAGCCACCAGGTCCGGGACTCAAACTGCAGTTGACTACTTGGGAGTCCAGCTACATAGCCATTACACTAACTGCTGGCCTCTAGGCCTGTTTTTAAATAAGAGGAAACTGAGAATTGAATTTCCAAACTGAAGAAGTTTCTGTAATTTATAACAATTATTTGTTATAAAGCAAGTTACTATAATTCACTTTCAAATGTCACATATCAGGTAGATGGAAGATCAAGGAGTAGTTTGTCTTTTTTAAATAGAGAAGATAAGAGCCTTTAAAAAAAAAAAAAAGCTTCAGTTTTTTTTCCCAGATCGTTACTTTACTCATATCCATATCTACTCATATTGTATCTGATAGCTAGTGGCTTTTGGGAAAAAAAGCTAATTACAGCTTTTCAGGCCATTTTGCTAAATAAATAGGCTTATTTCTCAGCTCACAGCACAATGTCAGCAACTGAGAGATTTTTCCCTGTGAGTTTTTTATGTTATTGTTCAAATTGAATGGTGAGTTTTTCTTAGTGTTAAGAACTTTCTCTTCTTATGATTTAGAAACATCAAATGATGTGCCAGCAATAATGTCGTCTCTGTGGAAGAAGTTAGACCATACACTCTCTCAGATCAGGTAATAAACTTACCAGAATGTACATGATTTTGAAATGCAAACATGTTTTCGGTTTAAATCTTCTGAAAACTTGTGCAGTATACTTCCATACCATACATCTAATTTTGAAATTACTCCAGAAGGTATTGATATGTCTTTGTCTTTGATGGAATAGTTCGAAATAAATTACGTACTTTAAATTAAATGTTTACAATTGAAAAAATTGACATAGGTAAAGGTTAAATGACAGTCCATAACAACTTGTAGTTTGATCTTGGAGTAGAATATTAGTCTGTTAGTTTTAGTCTAGTGTGAATTCCCTTAGTTAACTGCTTTTTCATTGCATATTTAGAGAATTGATCTGTTAATCAGTGCCCTATTTATTTTTTTTCTTCCCTTATAAAAAAAAAAAGGAAAAAACAAAAAACAAACTTGGGGCCAACATAGTGGTTAAGGCAAGTGGATACCAGATGGCCAACACACAGTTTGAATCTGGACCTGGTGGCTTGAAAATCACACTGAGCACATGTGTTTGTGCCCAAAATACCAAGAGGAGAACGGAGGAGGAATTGTGGTGTGACCATTTCCCCTTGTATTTGGGGAGGGCTATCTTTCTCTCTTTCTCTCCAGTGTACATGTCCTATAGCAAATTAAAAAATCAATTAAAAAAAAAAGGAAGAACAGCTTAAAGAATAATGTTGTAAAATCTTTTAGAATTTTTTCATATTGCTAGTAGTTACTTTCTATGAAGTTCACAGCCTTGGAATGCCAATTTCATCATCCTTCAAAGGATGCCAGCCCTACTGACATCAGTTTTATAATGTCTTTTATTTGCCTGAAGAATCTATTATGAAAACCATGATCTCTTAACCTTTCTCCTATAACTACAAGCCAATACCCAACCTAACCACAGCAAAGAACTTCCTTTTCTTCCTCTGTTTAAACAGTTCCAAATGTTTTCTACCTAACTCTGGACTACATCTTATTTTGTAGTTTTTATATATATTTTTCTTTCCTAACTCTTGTCTTATCTGCCCCATAAGTAATTTTCAAATATTTTTACAATTCAGGGAATTACATTATAAATACTATATGAATTACTGAAAAAAAAAAAAAGTAAGGTTTTTGCAATAGGGTACATGTGCTTACTGAAGAAAGAGAGAGAAACAAAGGAAAAATGAGAAATCACCTCCAAGGGGGTGAGGGCCACACGACAATCCTTTCTCCTTCATTTTCCTCCCAGGGTTTTTTGGGTGTACACACACATGTGCCCAGCATGATTTCTTAGCCTCATAAGTTTGAGACTCAAACCACGGTCAGCCGTGTGGGAGTCCAGCACTGTAACCACTATGTCAGCTGTCAGCCCCTATTTATTGAAATAATGACAAGATAGTCCATAGAAATGATTTTTAGCCAAGAAGCTAAGGTTGTTTAGTGTGTTATTAAAAGTACTTTATGCTGGAACCAGCAGATGGCATACTCACTATATTCCTGGACTCGCATGTAGTCGACCACGATTGGAGTCCCAGACCCGGCAGCTTAAAACTCAGGCCAGGTGCATGTCTGTGCATACCAAGATCCCTGGAGGAGAATGGAGAAGGGATTGTGGCGTGGCCATCCTCCTGGGGGCTGATTTCTCACTTTCCGGCTGTCTGGCGCTCTGGTTCGTGCACATGCCCTAGAACAAAAATCTCTCAAAAAATAAAGTGCTTTATACAATTTAGTTTTGTAGCTCTCATTAGTGGAGACTTCACACATTCCCTAAGATTAGGCCCAATGTACCTGTTTACCAAATATACAGATAGGTGAGATGACTACAATGCATCGTAAATGTATGAGCTTTTTACTATGAATTTTCCTGTATGTTCTTTATTTAGAGGTTGGATGAAATGATTTTGTTGTAAATTAGATAACAACAAGATGTTGTATTACATTGACTTCGGGATGCTTAAGTATATATGAAATCTTATGAAATAAGAATTTCTCAATGGGAAGATATCAATAGTTATGAAAAGTAATAGAAAATGTTATATTTTGTATATCGCTCACTTAAATATATAGAATTTCTAAAATCAAGTCAATATTAAGGCACTATACTGGATATTGTGTTAGATAGAAACTTTATTATTAAAATTAAGTTTTATGTTTGGTTGAATTTGTTTACACAGTACTATTTTTCTCCAAAAGCAAATGAGAATTACTCAGAAAATAGTTTTGTCTTTTTTGTCTGAGAGATCTTTTAACTCACAATTTTAAGTATGACTGTAATTAAGTCAATATATTTCTGCAAGAAGAACTTTTTAATGAATAACGACTTTGTTTTATTTGTTAGGAGCATGCAAAGTTCCCCAGGATTTGCTGCCAATCAAAGAGGTTGGTGTTCACCTTTAAACAATATTCAAAATTACTTCAAGTCTGGTGCCAGCATTTTCATATTGCTAGTAGTTACTTTCTATGAAGTTCACAGCCTTGGAATGCCAATTTCATCATCCTTCAAAGGATGCCAGCCCTACTGACATCAGTTTTATAATGTCTTTTATTTGCCTGAAGAATCTATTATGAAAACCATGATCTCTTAACCTTTCTCCTATAACTACAAGCCAATACCCAACCTAACCACCATTCATATCTGTTTAAACAGTTCCAAATGTTTTCTACCTAACTCTGGACTACATCTTATTTTGTAGTTTTTATATATATTTTTCTTTCCTAACTCTTGTCTTATCTGCCCCATAAGTAATTTTCAAATATTTTTACAATTCAGGGAATTACATTATAAATACTATATGAATTACTGAAAAAAAAAAAAGTAAGGTTTTTGCAATAGGGTACATGTGCTTACTGAAGAAAGAGAGAGAAACAAAGGAAAAATGAGAAATCACCTCCAAGGGGGTGAGGGCCACACGACAATCCTTTCTCCTTCATTTTCCTCCCAGGGTTTTTTGGGTGTACACACACATGTGCCCAGCATGATTTCTTAGCCTCATAAGTTTGAGACTCAAACCACGGTCAGCCGTGTGGGAGTCCAGCACTGTAACCACTATGTCAGCTGTCAGCCCCTATTTATTGAAATAATGACAAGATAGTCCATAGAAATGATTTTTAGCCAAGAAGCTAAGGTTGTTTAGTGTGTTATTAAAAGTACTTTATGCTGGAACCAGCAGATGGCATACTCACTATATTCCTGGACTCGCATGTAGTCGACCACGATTGGAGTCCCAGACCCGGCAGCTTAAAACTCAGGCCAGGTGCATGTCTGTGCATACCAAGATCCCTGGAGGAGAATGGAGAAGGGATTGTGGCGTGGCCATCCTCCTGGGGGCTGATTTCTCACTTTCCGGCTGTCTGGCGCTCTGGTTCGTGCACATGCCCTAGAACAAAAATCTCTCAAAAAATAAAGTGCTTTATACAATTTAGTTTTGTAGCTCTCATTAGTGGAGACTTCACACATTCCCTAAGATTAGGCCCAATGTACCTGTTTACCAAATATACAGATAGGTGAGATGACTACAATGCATCGTAAATGTATGAGCTTTTTACTATGAATTTTCCTGTATGTTCTTTATTTAGAGGTTGGATGAAATGATTTTGTTGTAAATTAGATAACAACAAGATGTTGTATTACATTGACTTCGGGATGCTTAAGTATATATGAAATCTTATGAAATAAGAATTTCTCAATGGGAAGATATCAATAGTTATGAAAAGTAATAGAAAATGTTATATTTTGTATATCGCTCACTTAAATATATAGAATTTCTAAAATCAAGTCAATATTAAGGCACTATACTGGATATTGTGTTAGATAGAAACTTTATTATTAAAATTAAGTTTTATGTTTGGTTGAATTTGTTTACACAGTACTATTTTTCTCCAAAAGCAAATGAGAATTACTCAGAAAATAGTTTTGTCTTTTTTGTCTGAGAGATCTTTTAACTCACAATTTTAAGTATGACTGTAATTAAGTCAATATATTTCTGCAAGAAGAACTTTTTAATGAATAACGACTTTGTTTTATTTGTTAGGAGCATGCAAAGTTCCCCAGGATTTGCTGCCAATCAAAGAGGTTGGTGTTCACCTTTAAACAATATTCAAAATTACTTCAAGTCTGGTGCCAGCAGGCAGCATGTTAGTTAAGGAGCTGGACTCCCACATGAGCAACCATGGTTCAAGTTCCAGACCTGGTGGCTTGCTTTCTCACTTTCCTTCTTTTCTGTCTCTCTCTGGTTAAATTTTTTAAATAATGGAAATAAGATATAAAATTAAGTAATTCTTTTTTAAAAATTATGTATTAAAAAATTACTTTAATTCAAACTGGTTAACATTTTGATTAACAGTACTTATGTACTAGTTATATATTTTGTTTACTGCTTTTCTAAATGTGGTTATTAGGAAATATTTTCACTTATTATTAAAATACTTTAATAAAAAGGTTTTTGCCATGAGGCACATGTACTCACTGGAGAGAGAGAGAGAAAAAAGTGAGAAATCACCCCCCCCCCCTCCAGTGGGCATACCACAGTCCCTCTTCCTCCATTCTCCTTTCAGAATTTTGAGCACACATGCACAGGCATCCAATGTGGTCTGCAAGTCCCTTGGTCTGGGATGCAACCGTGCAGTTGGCTGTGGGAGAGTTCAGTGCCTTAACCACCATGGCACCTGCTGGTCCCCAAAACACCTATTTTAAATGTTCTCTATGTTTCACATTGGATTACATGTAGTAACATCTTTTAATTGTAATTGCTAAGTTTAAGTTTCTTCATTTATAAGGGAGTGTTATGATATAGAAATGATTTATGGGGCCAGCAGGTGGCATAGCAGTTATGTAATAGTACTCTCACATGATCGACCTTGGTACCAGTCCTAGACTTGGTGACATGAAGCTCACACCAGCACGTGTCTGTGTGTGCCCAAGATCCCAGTAGGAGAATAAAGAAGGGATTGTGGTGTGGCCATCCCCCCTGGGGTGTGATTTTTCACTTTGCTTCTCACTGTCTCTGTCCCTCTCTTTTCAGTGAGCACATGCGCCTTAAAGCAAAAAACCTCTACAAAAAAAAGAATAAATGATTTATTGGATTAATAAAATTTGAATTTGCAGTTTATTTTGTTTCTTATGAAGTCATTACATAATATTTTAAAGGGCCGTTTTTAAATGTAGCTCAATCTAGTATCATATATATCAATAGATTAGGTCATATATTGAGTTTTTAAATTCCCAAACTAGCTCTGAATTAATTGTTAAAATTTGTTTGTTTTTCAGCCCGAACAAGAAATGGAATTGCAGAAATCAAACGACAGAGAAGGCTTACATCTCAAACAGCTCCCGTTACTTCAGAATTGTTGACTTTACCTTATCTTACCACTTCTCCTTTGACAGCTTCACAAGTTATTCGACCAACTGGCCAAATTACAACTCCTATGAGGTCAAATTTTGTAGTGGTCAATCATTCACAGTCACAAGATACTGTAACCAGTAAGTTTAAACTTTGTTTTCTTCAATTTTGTTGTTAATCAAGTTATACTGGGTCCTTGGGAATGTCATGATGTGTTTTTCTGTTTTTCTATGCAAAAATGTGACATGAGTTTTTTGATGACCCAGATAATAAAATGATGTATTAATGTTTTCATGCTTGTAGTATAAAATTACAGCAAGAAAGGAATGAGAGAAGCTAGTAGTTGAATAGAATTTAAATAGATTTTCCATAAAATAAGCATATATAACCTGTGAGTCTTCTTAATCTAGGATTCTTCCCAGTTTTCTACTTGTAATTGAAGTCCAACCTTGAATTTCTCAGGTTTGGGGATTGTGATAGAGAAATATTAAATGGAATTTACATTATATTTCAGCCCCTCCTTACCTTTGTTGATTCAAGTCTGTCCTTCCTAGAATAAGGAATGTCTTTTCCAGTTTACCACCACCTTTTTAGTTTGGAAATCCAACATGTTCCTGGCTGAATCTTAGAGCTAGCGATATACTTTATAGATCTTATGGTACCTGCTGATTGTTGTATACTTTATATTTTTTTAAGAAATTTTTTAAAATTTTATTTATTATTTATTTTAATTTGACACAGTCAGAGACAGAGAGAGAGAGAAAGTGAGAAAGCAAGCCACCAGGTCTGGAACTCGAACCGTGGTCAGCCATGTGGGTGTCTAGTGTCCTCAACGACCATGTCACTTACTGACCCCTATACTTTAAACTATTAAAAACGCAGCATAGTAAGTGACAAAAAAACTAGTTAATAAAAGAATTGGGGTTAAAATTGAGAGGTTATCTCTCTCAGTCCATTGTTAGTACTCTTTTGTGCACCTAAAATTTTTCCTTGTTTACTAAGATCTTCCTCATTTCCATCTTTTCTCCAAGTTCTTTTCTATACCCAGAGCACTGTTCATAGTTTTTCGTTCTGCCATGTTATTTTTTGTTGAAACCGTATTGTGCTTTGTATTTCATTGTAAACCCTAAGGCATACGGACTACATTTTATTAATATTTTCCGCAATGCCTTACACATAGTAGGCACTCAGTAACTATGTTAAAATAATTTAATATAAAATAGTAATTAGCGAATGCTTATCCCATTACAAGGTTAGAAAATTACTCCGTTTTTTTGGCTTACTGTTTTGTTTTCTTGAAATACAGCTGGAGAGGCTTTAAATATCATTCCTGGTCCTCAGGAAAGGAAATCTCATGCCAGTTTAATGTCTCCTGGTAGACGAAAAAGGTAAATGCTTTTTTAAAGGGACAAGTTGTCAGTAGTTAAAAAAATTTTTTTTACACTACAATACTTGCTTTGTAAATAGTAGTTAAGACTTGATTAAGTTCTTGGAAGCTATCTACTGTTATATCCATTCCAAAATTTATTATCTTTTCCAGTATTCCAACCTCCCTATAATTGGGTTGCATCCTTCAAGCAATACCATAGGTATTTCATTTGAAATGTGTTTTTTTTCTATAGTGGTATATAAAATAATTGTATATATTACAATTGATGTTATATCAGATTTTTTGAAATGTATTTTTGAATTTGTTTTTTAAATGAATATAAATAATACCAGTATGTTTTTTGATCTACAAACACATTTACAGTTATAAATCAGTTGGTACAATCTTTTTTGGTACAATCTTCAAGAAAATTTCTTTCAGTCCTGCTTAGCCCGTATGTCTTTGTTTGAAAGATATTTCAGAAAAAAGATAATACTTAAGAATTTTTTTTTCTTGCTTCTCTTCTGCTAAGCCATGGGTATTTTTATTTGAGTTTATTCTGTTGGTTGTCTCTCATTCTGGACTGACTTCAGCCTCTTTTATTGCAAGCTTTCTCACTTAAAACCACATTTCAAAAAAAGCAATAACAGTATCTGACTTTTACAAGACCTTGGTTTTTTTTTTAAAGTCTTCGCATATACTTTTTTTCATTCCATTCTTTCACAAACCCAAAAATGCAGTTAGTTTATCTTATCTCATTATAAAGTGGATGAAAGGGTCACAGTTTACTTCGTTTCAGGCCACATAGCTTGTAAGTGGTAAAGCTAGACCTCAGATTCATTTCTTCTGAATCCAAGTCTAGTTATGCTGTTTATGCTCTACTGTCCTTTGTTCTTACTGCTAATAGAGAAAAATGTCTGTTCTGCGATGATTTTAAAATTTATGTTTGTATACAGCTGTCATTGAATCTATTAGACATAGTAGTTAATAGACAAGCTTTTAAAATTTGTTTCAGTGAATCTCAAAGAAAAAATATCACTTTGTCTGGACCTCATTCAGTGATACGGAATTTCCAAGATCCAAATGCATTTGCAGTGGAAAAAGTAAGTGACCATCCAAACTTTACACCTTGAATATTCCTGACTTTAAAAAGACTGTATTTCATTTATCATTAAAATATGTAGTTAGGGGCAGGCAGGTGAAATAGTGGTTAAGGCACTGGACTCTAACGTGGCTGACCGCAGTTTGAATCCCAGACCTGGAGGCTTGCTTTCTCATGTTCCTTTTCTCTCTCTCTGCTCAAATTAAAAAAGTAAGAATGATGGGGGCTGGCAGGTGGCATGGTGGTTGAAGCCCTAGACTTGCACATGACCAACCATGGTTCAAGTCCCGGACTTGGTGGCTTGCTTTCTCACTTTGTCTCAGCTTCTCTCTGATAAAATTTTTTAAAAAAAATAATAAACTAAATAAAGAAAGAAATAAGATTTTCTTAAACAAGTAGTAATGAATAAAATTAAAAATAATTTCTAAAAAATATATATATTTTAAATATTCCCTATGTTTCTAATTTGCTCTCATGTAGTAGCATTTTTTCTTTTTTTAATTATTTTTTATTTAATTGTACTTATTAAACTTTTTTAGAGATTTTTGCTATAGGTCGCATGTACTCACTAGAGAGACCAAGATAGAAAGCAAGAAATCACCCTCTTGAGGAGGATGACCATGCTGCAGTTCCTTCTCTTCCATTCTCCTCTTGGGATTTAGGGCACACACACCTGGTGTGAGTTTTTTTGTTTCTTTTCTTCTTTTTCTTAAGAGAGATTTTGGCTAGAGGGCTCATGCGCCCACCAGGGAGACAGAGAGATAGAAAGCGAGAAATCACCCCCCAGTGGGGAAAACCATGTTTAATCCCTTCTCCATTATCCTCTCCAGATCTTAGGTACACACCCACACATTCCAAGCATGAGTTTCAAGCTGCTAGGTCTTGAACTGTGGTCAACTATATAGGAGTCCAATGACATAACTATTTTGTTACCTGCTGGCCCCAAGTTGTAGTCATTTTTTTAATTTGCTATAGGACATGTGAACCAGAGAGAGCACACGTGCATGAATCAACAAGCGATCCCCAACCAGCATGCCACCTGCTGGCCCCAGCATTTTTTAATACTGATTGCTGAGTCTGTGTTTCTTTTTTTAATCAAGAGAGTTTTGGTATAGGGTGTGTGTACTCACTAGAGAGACAGAAAGCGAGAAATCACTCCCCAGGTGGGATGGCCATGTCACAATCTTTTCTCCATTCTCCTCTCAGAATTTGGGCACACACCAACATGTGCCCAGAGTGAATTTGAGACTACCAGGTCTAGGACTGGTACGCTGGTTGACCACATAGGAGTCTAGCATTGTAATCACCACACCACTAGCTGGCCCCAAAGTTTGAGTTTCTTAACATATTAGGAGTGGTATTGGTATAGAACTAAAGTATTGAATTTATAAAATTTGAATATGCATGCTGACTCTGGGACAACCATATGCTCTGCTTGAGAGAAATTGGATCCCACATAGTGATTATATTTTGAAAACCCTGCCTAGTAGGCCAGAAACACAGTAAGCCTATAAGCAAATGTCCAAGATCCAATAAGGTGGAAGACTAGAGGAAGAGAACTGTGGTGTGATCAGACCCTGTGAAGGGTGCTTTCTGTCTCTTCTCACTCATGTGCACATGTGTGTAATCTTTTGTGAAAAATAAAATTACTGATACATGTACATACGTGTGTGTGTATATAATACAGTATTTTTATTCTGTTAAGAGTTTGCAGTGGAATTGTTGCCTTAGGATAAAGTGTATGGATGTATAAGGGAAGGAAAAAGTTTGTTCAGAATTGATAACATGGACAAGTATCAAATGAGAAATAGTGGTATGCTTAGGAAATTGTAAACACTTCATTGCTGCTAGATCATGCAATATATCATTTTACTGGGGACCTACTATTTAAAAACCTTATATAATAAATTCATCAAGAGTATAAAACTATATTTTGTAAGCAGTGAAGAAAGCTAATAAAAGATCTAAAAACACTTGCAAATTTAAAGTACTATATTCATGGAGGGAGCTACCACAGTATTTGGGTTTTCACCCAGGTTTGTTAAAGCTGTCTTGCTTTCATTAATTGGTTCTTTTAAAATATGAAACATAATACTCTTTCCTGTCCCTTTGCTAATACTGATTTTCTTTTCCAGCAAATGGTTATTGAAAATGCACGAGAAAAAATACTAAGCAACAAATCTCTTCAAGAAAAGCTAGCAGAAAATATTAATAAGTTTTTGACTAGGTAAGCTATGTTCTTTTTTTTTAAGAATTATTTATATAATTTTATTTATTCATTCATTTATTTTAATTTGACCAGAGATATATATATAGAGAGAGCGCAAGAAAGCAAGCCACCTGGTCCAAGACTCACACTGTGGTTGGCCATGTTGGAGTATCTAGCACCTTAACCACATACTACCTGCTAGTCCCCAAGCTGTGTATGTTCTAAGATGCTTACTTGTTGGGACCAGCAGTTGTTGTAATGGCTATGTCGCTGGACTCCCATGTAGTCAACCGTGGTTCGAGTTCTGGACCTGGTGGCTTAAACTCAAGCCGAGTGTGTGTGTGTGCTTGTGTACAATCCTGAGAGGAGAATGGAGGAGAAGGGATTGCGGCGTGGCCATCCCCCTGGGCAATGATTTCTTGCTTTCTGTTTCTTTCTTTTTTTTTTTTCGGAGATATTTTCGCTATAGGGCGCGTGTGCTCGCCAGACAGAGAGGCAGAAAGCGAAACCTCACAGCCCCCCCCCCAGGGGGGGTTGGCCCACGCCGCAATCGCTTCTCCTCCATTCTCCTCTTGGGATCTTGGGCACGCACGCACAGGCGCCCGGCGTGAGTTTTAAGCCACTGGGTCTGGGACGCGAACCGCGGTCGACTACGTGGGAGTCCAGTGACAGCCATTACACTAACTGCTGGTTCCCATGTCTCTGTCTTTCTCGCTAGTGCATGTGCCCTACAACAAAAACCTCAAAAAAAAAAAAAAAAAGATGCTTGTTTTCTCATAATTGCATATATATGTTAAAGACCTTCTTTTTTTTGTATTATAGTGATAACAATATTACTCAAGTACCTAAACAAACAGAAAACAACCCTACTGAGCCAGAGACTTCAATTGATGAGCTCCTGGTACTTCCGGTAAGGGTACATGTGTGAGTGAGGGGGGAAGAGACAGAGACAGAGATAGAGAGACTTACATTTATAGTTGAAACTAATGCTAGTCTGGTTTTATTTTGTAATCCTAGCCAACTGAGCAGATATAAAAAATTATTTAAAATGATAATTGAAGATTATAGTTTTCCTTCATTACTCATATGTAATCTGTTCCTGAAAACATTTTGGATGGTGACTTTTATAATAGTTTGTATTGAATTCTGTAAACAATAAAACTATTAAGACCTTCCTAACCTATCTAATAACTAACCTACTTTATAAGATACCAGTAGAATAATCTTATACACCTGTACAATAATCAGTGTTGATTTTAAATATTTGATACTTAAAGATTCATTAAGAGCATATGAATGTAATAAGCAATAATGTACAATGTTTATGTAAATCATCTTTGTTTACACTGTTACAAACTTTAATAATTTGAAAAGTGAAATAATGCTAAAGATACATAGCGAGTCTAAGTTATGAATAAAACAAGACACTTTATGAAAGAAAGGTTAGTAACTGAGTAATTGTGTGAAGTTTACTTCTGAGAGAAAGATAGTCTGTAGTCACTTTTGATATTCAGTGGTTGGTGAATACACAAGAGAGTGAGTTGGTAAGGCAAAATTTAACAGTATGTTTTTAAGATTTGTCCATGTGTAATAACCTTTTTGAAGAGCAGCTAGTATTATGACTATCGTGCATCCTATTCAATTCTTGGACAGTAATCACATTTTTATTGGTGTGCCCATGTGCATTCAATATAGCAGGTTTTCTTTTAGTTGATGAATTCTGGGTAAAACCATTGAATTTTTGAATTTTCTATTTAAACAGTACATGAGATTCTGTATTTAAAATTTTTTTTAAGACTTACTTAGTTTTATTTATCATTATTTTATGATTTGCTACAGGGCAGCTGCACACACCAGAGACAGACCAAGTAGATAGAGAAAGTAAAATACCAGGTCCAAGACTCAAACAGCATTCAGACACGTGGGAGTCTAACACCTTAACCACTGTGCCACCTGCTGGCGCCAGGGAGTTCTTAAAAAGCATAAACTCACAAGAACAAAAAAAAAAGGGATATATAATAGGAAAACAATTTTTGGCAGAGAAATGGGCAAATGGTACGTGGCTTAGTTGATTCAGGGTTCTAAGTCAAGACAAAACTTGGGGGAACAAAGCAAGTTTATAGTGCAAAAATTTCAAAATCCTCCAGAAGTAGCACCAGTATCTCCAGAAGATGAGATGTGGCTCCAAATAGGTTGATAAGGAGCAAAATTTAGTAAGTAGCTATACTCTTGTGTCTTCTCCCTTTTCCTCATACTCATCTCAGGAACACAGTTGCCAACCTCCCCAAGCAAGAAATCTGAGACTCATTGAAAAGAAAGGAATTTAAAACACAGATGGCTTTGCAAAATTATTCTCAGCTTACATTAGAGTTGACAAGCTTACTCCCTTTTTGGCACAGAGCTTACAGATATTGAGGAATATGTTTTCCAAAGTGATTAATTCTAGTAAGTGCGGTTAAGGAACGTTCACCTTATTTTTAAGTTTTGTTGTATTAGATGATCATATTGTTATATGCAGAAGAAAATTTTTCCGAAGTGGAATAATTCTGTACCAAAAGTTTAAAACTACAAATTATTTCTACTAAACCATATTACTAAATTAGGATTATGCTTTTAACTCACTTTTTTTTTTTTTTTTTTTTTGAAGGGGAAAACCCACATGTTGAAAAAAGAAAATTTTTCCGAAGTGGAATAATTCTGTACCAAAAGTTTAAAACTACAAATTATTTCTACTAAACCATATTACTAAATTAGGATTATGCTTTTAACTCACTTTTTTTTTTTTTTTTTTTTTGCAGAGTGAAATCCACATGTCTGAAGAAGCTATACAGGATATATTGGAACAGACAGAATCAGACCCAGCATTTCAGGCACTCTTTGATCTTTTCGACTATGGTAAATAGACTTTCTTTTAAGGCAATTAGAAGATAAAAGTTCTCCAGGTTTTTGTCTGTTTGTTTGTTTGTTTTTGATAACCAGAATAAAGCAACATTCATACAACATCTGCGAAGGATCCTGTTTTTCTTAAAGCAAAATTTATGTGGGTATGTGAAAGGGGGTAGGAGGTTGTTATTTTGTTTTGTTTCTATGTAATGAATTGCCTCAGCTATAAAAATGGAGAACAGGTTGGTTTTTGTTTTGAGGGCATTTTTTCCTGTCGACTGGGAATGTGTTTATGCCTACTACTATACAGATATACCAAACATAATTGAATGATTCAAAAGGAATACAAAAAGCTGGTATCAACTTCAATCTTACGATCTAATGCAATAGTTCTTAAAGTATAGTCCCCTGAACCAGTAATTTGCTATCTGAGAATTCAGTAGAAATGCAAGTTCTTGGTCCTTCCAGGACATTCTGCTGTATACTAAAAAGTCTAAGAACCCCTGGTTTGGTAGGAAAATCTTTGTACTTGTAAATGATGTATAAAGTAGCATGTTACCATCCAGGAATGATAATTAAAACCAAAGTTTAACATTCGCTTGACTACTGTCATGCTATTCTAATTGTTTGTTTTTATTCTGGCTATGTAAGTATTTCTCTTTGTACTTTTAACAGGTAAAACAAAGAATAATAAAAATATATCACAAGGCGTTTCTACTCAGCATATGGAAGCTAATTCCAATATAGTCTTAGCAGCTGAAACTAATCTAGCAGTTAAAGAGTCTTTTGAAACAGGATCTGGTAAGAATTTCATTTTGTTAAAATCATCATTCCAAATATTAGTATGTCTCAGAATTCAAAGGCAAAAAAATGTTTAATTTGGAAATTGTTCAAATTATTATATAGCTTATATTTGTATTTCTAGTTTTCTCTCCTTCAATTAAAAGGTCAATTTTTAATACTCAATTTTTTATAATACAGTAGATTATTGACTTTCTCAATTTAGTATTAATAGTGTGTAACACTCAGAAAAAGTTGGTATCATGTAACATACATTTGTTAAAGCAGAAATTTTAATCCCTATTTTGTAGAATTAATATTTTCTATCAGTCATTCAGCTTGATGAGTTTAACTGATTTCTCAGTATCTGTATCATTTGGGAGAATTAGTACCACAGTAATAGTCTTGAAATTAAGAATTATGAGGTTTTAGATCATATTTCTACCTTTTCTATGAAGTTATTCCTTTATAGTTCTGCCTCATATAGAGTACCAATATGACACATAACTAACCCATAAAAACTATTTGTCGAATGAAAAAAGGCCATGAATAAGTTCATCTTTGATTTTTTTAAATATTTGCCAACTTTTTTAAAAAAGACTAAGTCTTACTGTGAAATATAACAAACATACACAAGAAATACACAATAAAAATGTATACAGCTTTAGTCCAGGTGTTGCAGTAGTAAAATGTGACATTATGAGAAAATTTCATATGAGAAGGTTTTTGTTTCAACTACAGAGACCTCCCTGATTATGCCAGACACACTAGCCTTTGCTCTGGGACTGGTTGAAGGCGGAGGGTGAAGTGTAGTGTTAAGATCCTGTTAGGGATGCTCTCTCTTTCACTTTCTCGCTCTTAGAGGAAATGAGTAAACTGTAAAAAAATAAAATAAAAAATAAAGTGTGGGACTCATTTAATTACTAGACCCAGTCAGTCTATCCAGGCAAATACCCATGTAACCATCTCCCATGTTAAAAACCCACAAAGCATTGCCAGCGTCACAAGACCCTTTTTGATACCTCCACTCAGTCACTATTCCCTTTGTTCCCTGTTCCTCGGAGATAGCCATTAACCATTATCCTGGCTTCTCACACTTCTTGCTAAACTTTATGCCTTTTCAGTGCTGCCTCCATTCATTCAGTTTATAACAGCTATGCCAAAATAATATTTTCTGCTCTCCTGTTGTTAAATGTTATCAGCAATTCCCAGCCACTAAAAAATTTTAACTTCCAGTTTTCACATATTCCACAAACTCGTTTGGGGCATCTCAAACTATATTCCTCTTTGCAGCCACTAAAAAATTTTAACTTCCAGTTTTCACATATTGTCTTCCAAAAACTAGTTTGGGGCATCTCAAACTATATTCCTCTTTGGAATCCTCTGCTGACACCCAAACCCAGTCTTCAATTTCTTAGGCTGAATGTGGGGTGTGTTTTTCTCACTATATATTATTTGTAGTTCATACTTCATTTAGGTTCTACCATATACAGAATGAAACTTGAAATCCTATTTTCTTAGAAAGTCTTCCCACTTTATTTAGAAAATATTGAGTTGTCAGAAAGGTCATAATTCATTATGCTATGGTATGATTTTCTGTCATATATCTGCTTTCTAAACTAGACTGATTTCTCCAAGGTCAGTCTGGAGAGATCATTCGTCTTTGTAGTCCAATATGAAGCATGTGGTTGGTCTTAACTAAATGTGTTGAATGTTGAGTAGTACACAGTGAGATCATATGTTAATTGCAAAATATACTTGGGCCCATGTCATCTTTAAGAGTAACCAAATAAAATAAGGACAGTTGTGAGACAAACTACAAGTTTAGAGTTATAATAATTGTTTCACTTATTGGTAAACACTATGGTTTTTTTGAGAGAGAGAGAGAATTTTTTGCTATAGGCCACGAGTATTCACCAGAAAGACACAGAAAGACAGTGAGAAATCACTTTACAGGGGATATGGCCACACCACAGACCTTCTCCTCCATTCTTCTTTTGAGATTTAGGGCATGCATGCACATGCGCCTGGCATAAGTTTCAAGCTGCAGGGTCCAGGACCCAAGCCTCAGTCAGCCACGTGGGAGTCCAGCACCGTAACCACTATGCCACCTGCCGGCCCCAATACTAAATATTCTTTTTATTTCATTTTGTTTTGTTTTTAAAAATAGTTTGATTTTATTTATCATTATTTTTTAAGATTTGTTATAGGGCATCTGCCCTCACCATAGAGGGACAGAGAGAGAAAGTTAGAAATCAAGCTTCCATGTCTGGGATTCAAACCACAGTTGGCCATGTGGGAGTCCAGCGCCTCAATAACCATGCCATCCACTGGCCCCACTTAATATTCTTAAACCTATATACTTTTTCCTTAGTTGAGTCATTGAGACATCAGTAATTAGAGAAGTACATGTAAATTTTTTAGTGCCCAAAAGTGGAATACATAGTGAAGTGCTTATAAATTTTTAGTACTCAGAAAATGTGATATATACTGTATGAGACTACCATTAACTGGTCTGCCACAGAATAAGTACATCAGAATAGCTATTACAGTAAAAATGACATCCTTAGAATCTAAACAGTCTCACCACATCTTTCTACCTTCCTGATATTTTGCAGATAATCAGTCTGCTCAGCCGTCATTATGTACCTCCTATCAAAATGAAGACACATTAAATGCGATGAAGAATGGCAGCAACCATGATATGTTTAGACAGGAAGCCCAGGAAAGTTTTTCCCAAATAGGCTCTAGCATCCAGAAAAAGGTCTTTAAAACAGCTGTACCTACTGAACAGAAGTGTAACCTTGACATCACCTTTGAGTCAGTGCCTAATTTGAATGATTTTAACCAAAGAGGAAATTCCAGTGCTGAATGTAATCAGCATTGTGCTGAATTATACACCAATCAGATGTCCACTGAAACAGAAATGGCCATAGAGGTTGAAAAGAATTCTTTGTCTTCAAATGTGCCAAATGACTCTCCGTTACAGCCTGATCAGCCTGATGTACCAATAACTTCATTTGTTTCACTTGATGGTGACAGTAATAATGAAAACTTAATTCTCTCTGGGAAAAATTCTCAACTTTTGTCTCAGAATACTCCGTTATCTGAAAACCAATTAAAAAAAGGTCATTTTTGTGAAAGTTCTAACGACTTAGTAAGACTTAAAACTAATTTCCATGGTTCAAAGTCACCAGATTCTAATGAAATTCACAAGAGTAAAATTGAAATTAATAGTGTACTACCAGTTTTGTCACAACAACTCTCAAATTGCCAAGATAATGCTTCACTTCAAAGTAAAATATTACCAGCATCTGTTGCAAGTTCAGGTTTAAACGTATCTGGGCAAGTAGAAATTCATCTTGGAGATTCTGTCTCTTCAGTTAAACCACCACCTAATGATTCAACATCTGTTGAGTTAAATCAAACAAAAAATGAATCTCAGCCATCCAAGTCTGAGAAAGTTACTTTGGATTCACAAGAGACTTCATCTTCTACAAAAGAAGATGGAAATACTATCTTTATCTCTTTAAGTGAAAATGATAACTGTGGAGAAGTTGCATTGATACCTCCAGAAGGCCATCCTGTAGAAGATAATTGCTCTGTTCCTTCAGAGTCTGTCTGTTCTTCAGTTGGAGATTCTCATCCTGAGTCTCAGAATACTGGTGATAAACCTTCCAGCGAGAGCTCAGCAGAGATGGATGAATCAAATATCGTCTCTCTCAAGATTATTATTAGTGATGATACATTTGTTTCCTCAGATACTGAACTTAACAATGCAGTTTCTAGTATTAGCGGAGAAAACTTGCCAACTATAATTTTGTCTTCTGCTAAATCACCTACTAAAAATGCAGAATTAGTGAAATGCCTATCTTCAGAAGAAACTACAGGCGCTGTTGTATCTGCTCAAGAAGTAGGGGATTCAGCTTCAGTGGAACAAAGCCTTTTAGTGCTTAAATCTGAAGACTCTACAGTAAACAATACTCAGAATGAAGATGGCATTGCATTCTCAGCCAGTGTTACACCATGTATCCCCAAGGATGGAGGATACATACAGTTGATGCCAGCTACAAGCACAACTTTTGGCAGTTCAAATAACATTCTGATAGCTACTTGTGTGACTGACCCACCAGCCTTCGGAACAACTGTCAGTCAGTCTAATGTGGTAGTGTTGCCTGGAAATTCTGCACCTGTGACTGCTCAACCTCCAACACCTCAGTTACAGACACCACCAAGGTCAAACAGCGTATTTGCTGTCAACCAAGCAGTGTCACCAAACTTTTCACCAGGTAACTTTAAGAACAGGTTGAATTTCATTTCTCTGGATTGGAATCTAATTTATATTTAAAGTTATTGGATAGGTAACTCATAGATAAATAATATGGATGAATAGTATGAGAAAAGCTTGTGAAATTTTAAAATATGCCTCTCTTTACATTAGCTAATTCAGTTAAAGCTTTTTAAAATCTCACAAATAATGTACTTGAGTGTTTTTGTTTTGTTTTGTTTTATTTTTTGCCCCATAATTCTCAATCTATGTACTAACAAACTATAGAGAAAAAGATTAAATTATGGCATGGATATATACTTACTAAAACCCAATGTTGAAGATATTTTTTAAAAAATAGCTAGTGTAGTCATAGTATTTAAGAATTTCTCATCTATTTGGAGGGAATTTCATGCAAATTGAATTTCTCCTTCCATAAAACCTGTGATTTCTCACTGTTTTCTGCCTTTTAGAATTGATCCTTGTCTTTGGAATTCCTTGTTAATAGGGCTCTTGTGACATTTATTCTGTGCAGTGTTACATGTATTTGGTGATTGGGATGCCTTTCTTCTTGGCCATTCTTGATTATATGTTCCTCAAAGATGCAGCTATGATACATTCATCTACATTTCCTTGTGTACTAGTTTTCATTCTTCCCTTTTCCTCCCTTTTAAAAATTATGAGTGTACAATAAAATTTTGTGTGTCAGCATTTATGTATTTAAATCTTGGGGTTTATTTTTATGCCAGTGGGCATGGGCACACATGAAGGCTGAGGAAAAGAGAGAAAGCACCATCTAATCGGGTCTTGTGCTGAAATCCTTTTCCCTCCCGTCTCCATCTGTCATCAAGATTCTTAGTACACATACGTGTACCCAGCATATTTTTTAAACTGCCGTATTTTTCGACTCTGATTAGCCATGTGGGATCCTGATTCCCTCATTTTGAGACCAGCCCTGGTGGATCTGTTGCAAGTGCTATTTCAAATGAAATAAAGAAGTCAGAATGGATAGAGAATGTGAGACCTGAGCTAAAGCTTAGAGAAATGACGTAGGGCTAAGTAAAGGATAGGACCATCAGGTGGTATAGTGGTTAAGGCACTGGACTCCCACATGGCCAGCTGTGATTTGAGGTCTAGACCTGGTGGCTTGAAACTCACCCTGGACAAATATGCATGCATGCCCAAAATCCTAAGAGGAGAGTGGAAGAGAAGGGATTGTGGATGGCTGTCTGCCTTGGAGGTGATTTCTCACTTTCTGTCTCTGTCTCTCTGGCATGTGCATGTGCCCTATAGTAAAAATCTGTCAAAAGAGAGAAAGAAATGAAAGAAAAAGGAGAGAGAATAAACAGAAAAGGAAAGGAAAGAATGAAAAGAAATCTTTATGACTAGTGGAAGCATAGATAGGTATTTGAGAGACTACAGTAGGTTGAATGAAAGTGAGATCACTCTGACATAAGTAGTGATTGTGTTAGATAAGCTCACTGTACGGCAGAGCTAATTTTTTTTTTTTAAGATTTTTTATTTATTTATTTAAATTTGACCAGAGAGGGACAGAGAGAAAGAGAAAGCAAGCCGCCAGGGCCAGGACTCAAATAGCAGTCAGCCATGTAGGAGTCCAGCACCCTTAATCAGCACGCCACCTCCTGGCCCAGCAGAGCTAAATTGTAATAGACCCAAACTATACATGTTGTTGTCTTTTTGTTTTGTTTTGTTTATCAGTGGGTATATGTGCTTGCCAGAGAGTGGCACATGGAAAGACAACCTAGAAAGCGCCCCCAAATAGGGATATGGTCATGCTGCAATCTCTTCTCCATTTCTCCATCCTGTTGAGATTTTGGCTCATGCACACAAGCACCTGGCATAGTCTGCAAATGACCAGGGTCACTTGGGTGGTCATGTAGGATCAGGCTCTTTATTGTTGTTAATTTTAGAGAGATTTTTTGCTGTAGGACAGGTGCACTTGCTGGAGAGACAGAGAAAGACAGCGAGAAATCACCCCTAGGGGGATGGCTATGTCACAGTTCCCTCTCCATTCTCTTCTTGGGATTTGGGGCATACACACACAAGACACCTGACATGAGTTTCAAGTTTCCAGGTCTGGAACTTGAACCATAGTTGCCCATGTGGGAGTCTAACCCATCACTCCATCCGCTGGTTCCAGGTTCTGGCTCTCTTACCTACCAGTCCATAAGGCCAGCCCCATGACATTGTCTTTTAAGGACAATGTAGGCATTGCAATTTTCTCCCCATCGTTTTGTCTGATTATATATTTACCTGGGCCCTTGCGACCAGTACCACTGAAAAGTAATTGGTCAATGTAAGAGGCTATGACTATAATAGGCCATGAGCATAGTCTTGGGCTATGAACATCCAGTCGAGATCTTAATTTTTCTGGTGTTAGATTCAGACTTGAAACAGTTACCACTCGTTTTCTAATCAGTTTCACTGTTCTCTTTGGAGGAATGAAGATAAACTGTATCCCTATATAATAATCTCTAATGTTATGCTTGGTCATGCGGGTTTATTATGACTAAATGACCACCTTAATATTCAGAATGATATTTTCTTAATTTGTTAGTCTTGCTGCTGTTCCTAAATGAGCTTTTTAAAAAGAATCAATGCTAAGGAAGGGAATTTATACAGTTTATTTCAAAGTGATAATTACCTAGGTGTTTTCTGCCCAAAATATTTGAAAAGAAATCCTTTTTTAATGAAAATTGTTATTTGTAGGGTCTGCCATCATAATTGCTTCTCCAGTTCAGCCTGTACTCCAGGGGATGGTGGGAATGATCCCTGTTTCTGTGGTTGGACAGAATGGAAATACGTTTTCTGCTCCTCCGCGACAGGTAAGACTTAAGAACTAGAAATGATGGAGTGAAACTTTTCAGACACTATAATTAATGTCTTTTTCTCTTCTAGGTCCTTCATATGCCTTTGGCAGCTCCTGTGTGCAATAGAAGTATTCCTCAATTCCCCATCCCTCCAAAATCTCAGAAGACTCAAGGACTAAGAAACAAGACTTGTATAGGTACCATTTAGTTCATTGATGTCTACTTTTATGTCCATTTGTTTGCAGTAACACCTGAAATTTTTCTTTTTGAATTCTTGTACCATTCTTTTTATTTTTGAAGAGTGGTTTTTTGTTTGTTTGTTTTTAAAGAGAGATTTTTGCTATAGGGTGCATGCACTTGCTGGAGAGACAGACAGAAAGCAAGAAATCACCTCCCTGGGGCGGGATGGCCATGCCACATTCCCTTCTCCCCTTAGGATTTTGTGCACGGACGCACACACACCTGGCGTTAGTTTTAAGCCACTGGGTTCAGGACTCAAACCACAGTTTTCGTCCTGTAACGTAATCATTATACCATCTACTGGCCTTCTTGAACCATTCCTAACAAGTGAATGTTCTGCCTTTGCTTAAAGTTTTATATTAGGTCATGGGGAAAGTCATGATGCATTTTTTGCATAAAAAAAATAGGTCATGACTTTCCCAACGACTTAATATTAACATATATCACAGTCAACCGTTGGCAACTTTGATTCAAAAAAGTTGTTTTCTTTGTTGAATCTTTTTGCTTTTGACAGCTGATCCATGGTTGTTTTTTCTAGCTGCCTTATAATCATAGCCTCTAACTTCTTTTTGATAACTTTAACATGTTTAGTGAATGCCTTGTATATTCACGTGAGATTTAAGAACCGTGCTTTTCAAATTTTAATGCGTACATGAAATACACCTGAGGATCTTGTTAAATGTAGATACTGAATTAATAGAATTGTCACAGGGCCTGATAATCCTCATTTCTAACAAATTTCCAGGTAATGCCAGTGCTGCTGATACTGGATTACACTTTAGGTACAAAGTTTTAAAGTTCATAAATTACCTTTCCTTGTTTCCTATTTTAGTTAGTGGCCAACCTTACAACTGTTTGCCTATGTCTATTTTTTTTGAAGAATTTTTTGAAGAATTATTTTATTTAAGTTTGTTATAGGGCATGCGTACTCACCAGAGAGATACAGATGAAAAGTGAGAAAGCAAACCACCAGGTCCAAGATTAAAACAGCGGTCGGCCATAAGGGAGTCCAGCTCCCTAACCACCACACCTCCTACTGACCCTATAAGCCACTTTCAACACACATTTCTTCTTCAAATATTCATTTGCATCAAAGTTATGTCAGTATCCTCCTGTCCTTGTCTCTCTCTCCTCTTGTGGTCCTTATTTTTCCACTTCATCCTGTATCTATTGACTGAGTGACTTTTTCTCTGAAAAATAAAAATCTAAATATGTTTCTACCCTGCCTAAAAAGAGTCAGTATCTCTCCATTGCTCACAGTACAATATTGAAATTCCCAGGGTGATACATACATGCATTTTTCATCTAACTACTATCTGTCTCTTTATTAATATCTTTTACCACTCTCCAGCATGGACCCTTTGTACCAGCTATACCTTCTTGTCCCTGTACCTCTATCCATGCTTTGTCTTCAACTTAGAATTTTTTTCTTTTCACCCAACTCCTACCCTCTGTCTAGTCCTTATTTATCCATCACATTTAATGCAAGTGTAACTTTTTCTTAGGAAGCATTTTAACAAGTAGTGGCTAAGATGGGTGTTTCACACCCATCTTTCTCACACATTACATGAGAAATGTTCATTTTCTCAGGAGATCGAGTGTTTTAAGAGGTGGGATCACACAGAAAATTCACTAGATGGTTTTTTTTTTTTTTTTTAATCTAAGGATTTTCTATAATGCACATGCACTCACCAGAGACAGACAGTGAGAAAGTGAAAATGATCCCCCAGGGAGATAGTGACACTACAATCCCTTCCCATCCATTCTTAGGACACATGAACATGTGCTTGGTGTAATTTTATTTTTTTATAAGAATTATCATTTTATTTAACTTTAATTAATTAATTTATTTAACTTGACCAGAGAGAGTGAGAGACAGAGAGAGAAATTGAGAAAGCAAGCCACCAGGTCTGAGGCTCGAACTGTGATCAGCCATGTGGGAGTCCAGTGCCCTTCACCATCATGTGACCTACCGGCCCCTCTGGTATGATTTTCAAGCCTCTGAGTTTGGGACTACAACTGCCATCAGCTATGTGGAGTACAGCATCCTAACTAGCATGCCACTTGCTGGCCCCACTATATGCTATCTTAATTCAATTTTCTATAAGCTAAATGATACATACTTGTTGGTATTGGCTGTAGTTGCATTTCGATACCCTGTTAGACTTTGTCACATTATAGCTACATTATATAATTTTTCTTATATGATTTATTCCTTTTAATGACCATTTGGAATCTTATCACTTCTAAAAGCCTATTTTATTTATCCTATATCAATAGACTGTTTAGATAGTTTAAGTTTTTTGCTCTAATAGCTTTAAAATAAACATCTTTATAGATTGCCTTTGTGTGTACAACTCTGTGAGACTTTTAGGGAAGCACATGCCCGAAAGTAAAATATCTGGGTCATAGAGAAGCGCTATATATAATCTATATTTCTACCATTATTTTCCCTATTTCTTCCAGAACACATTCATTCCTTGACACCATGTACTATTTTAACTTTTACCACTAAGATGGATGTAAAGTGGTAGTATCTAATGTCACTTATTTGCATTTTCTTGATTTCTGTGAAAGTCTGAATCCTGTCTTTTAGCCGTAAATAATTGGCATTTTCTGTGAATTGCCTATTCATATCCTCTTCTTGCTTCTCTTTTAAGGTTTCTTGTCTATTGATATGTTATTCCTTTATTGGGAACATAATCCCAAATGTCTCTCACTTTTTTTTTTGAAGAGGGAACTGCTGGTCCCTCTCTCGCTTTTTTTTTTTTTTTTTGAGAGGTTTTTGCTATAGGGCGCGTGCGCTCGCCAGACAGACAGAGAGAGACAGAGAAATAGAAAGCGAGAAATCACCCCTTGGGGAAGGTGGCCACGCCACAATCCCTTCTCCATTCTTCTCTCGGGATCTTTGGCACGCACGCACACGTGCCAGGCGTGAGTTTTAAGCCACCAGGTCCGGGACATGAACTGCAGTCGACTACGTGGGAGTCCAGTGACATAGCCATTACACTAACTGCTGGTCCCCCTCTCTCGCTTATTTTTAATCCCATTATGAAGTTAGTACCAGGAAACAAAAACATTGCTAAAATTCAGTACCCACTTATGATAAATGTTCTTAGTGGCTATTTAGGGCCAGCTGATGGCTTGGTAGTAAAGGTGGCTGGATCGCTAATGGCTGCCTGTGCACTTCAATTTGTGGACCTAGTGGCTTGAGAAACACTCCAGGTATGTGAGCCCATAATGACAAAAAGAGGAGGAAGGATTGCAGCATGAACATTCCCCATAGGGAGTGATTTCTCATTTCCCTCTGTTACTCTTTGTGTATGTGTGTGTGTGTGTGTGACCGCCTTTCTCTAGCAAGCACATGTACCCTCTGGCAAAAATTAAAAAATAAAAAATAAAAATAAAACAGAAATAGCCTATCTATCATAAGCATAATGGGTTTGCTTTGAAGTTTAAAACAAAACAAAGATATTTGTTTTTACCCTCTATATAATGATCCAAAATTTCCAACACCCATAAATTCTTCATTAACTAATCCAAATTTTTCCCAACGTCTGGATTATACCTCAGCTATATGCAAGTTCCCATTATACGTGGTCCAGACCAAACAGTAAGGAAACAGATGGAAAGAGTTGAAGAAAGGGAATTAAAACCGTTAGGGTAAATGATGTAATTTTTACACAATAAGCACAAGAGAATCCATAGAGATGTTACTAGACCTATAGTAAGAATTGAGCAGTTTGCAGATATATAATTAAAATTGTGTTTTTGTGTACCAGCAATAAGCAAGTATTAAACATAATAGGAAATAAGATGCTATTTATAAAAACCACAAAGAGATAAAAGTACAAAACCCTGCGACTTAAAAACTCACGCTGTGCGCATGGGCATATGTGCCCAAAATCCTGAGAGGAGAGTGGAGGAGAAGGGATTGCGGCATGGCCGTCCTCCCAGGGGATGATTTCTTGCTTCCTGTCTTTGTTTCTCTCTGTTTCTCTGGTGAGCACACCCACCCTATAGCAAAAAAATCTCTCTCTTAAAAAAAGAAATACAGAAAATGCAAAATCTGGGACCAGCAGTTAGTGTAATGGCTATGTCACTGGACTCCCACGTAGTTGACCGCGGTTCGAGTCCTGGACCCGGTGGCTTAAACTCACGCCGGGCGCATGTGCATGCGTACCCAAGATCCCAAGAGGAGAATGGAGGAGAAGGGATTGTGGCATGGCCATCCTCCCTGGGGGGGTGATTTCCTGCTTTCTGTCTCTCTCTGTCTGGTGAGCGCACGCACCCTATAGCAAAAAAAAAAAAAACTCTCAAAAGGGAAAAAAAAATGCAAAATCTGTCATAAAGAATTTATAGGAGACCTAAATAGAGAAACAACATATATATAGATTTGAAAATTTAAGTGTAAATATTTCCATTCTAACCAGCTGAATTAAAAAGTCCATGTGATTCCGCTTAAAAATCCCTTTGAGGCTCAACTGTGGAAGCACATAAGTTAGGATACTACTGCAGTCCTGCAGTCATGGAAACAACCTTGGGTTTGGATCCCAGATTAACCTCACTACGCCAGGCACACACGTGATCTTGGCTGACTAGGAGGTAGGAAAGGAGGGTTCGTGATGTATGAGAGCCTATCGAGTGTGTCTGTCGCACTCTTTCTCAAATAATTTTTAAAGTTTTATTGGAATATTTGAGGAAATGAGAAAACTTCTTATAAAAATCTGTAAGGGAGTTGGCCTGGTAGCCTAGTATTTAAGGGAAGGAGGTCCACAACTGACCATAATTCAAATTCTGGCCTACGTACATGTGTGTGTACCCAAAAACTGGACAGAATAGGAAAGGGATTGTGGCATGACAATGCCCCATTGCGGGATGCTTTTCCTCTCTCTCAATGTTTATCTCTCTCTGGCATAAAACAAAAAACAGAATTGATAAGGAGAAAATTAAAAAGTCTATTGTTACCTAAGAAGAGCAAATGGCAAATTTTACCCTATTAGATGGTAATATACTGCAAAGCCATGGTGATTAGAACAAAATAAAATGAACAGGATACATTTTAGATACAGACTTTGTGTATGATAAAGATAATATCAGAAGTTAGAATTTACAAGATGGATTTTTTGTTTTGTCTTAATGCACATAGAGTACATGTGCTTGCCAGAAAGAGAACGACCTATGGAGGCATGGTCGCACTGGAATTCTTTTTCCATTACTGTCTCCTTTTACAATTTGGTGCATTCACACAAACCCATTTTTCAAGCCTCTAGGCTTGGGATTTGAACTCCTTTGTCAGACAGGTTAAGCCCAGTCCCTTAACCTCCAGGCCATAGACTGCCCCAAGATGGATTGTATATAAGATTTATTAGCCCTTTTTTTGTGTTTCTGTGTGTAATATATAAGGAAAATATTAGATCTCTTTCTCACTCAAAGGTGAGCTGTAAGGTGATTAAAATCAGACCTAAAATGAGAGGGCCAGCAGGTGGCGTGGTGGTTAAGGTACTGATCACTCCCACATGGCCGACCATGGTTCGAGTCCTGGACCTGGTGGCTTCCTTTCTCTCTCTGTGTCTGTCTGTCTGTCTCTTTGGTCAAATTAAAATAAATCAATGAATATATAAAATAAATAATTTTCTATTAAAAAAAATAGACCTAAAGTGAAAAATAAAACAAATGACAGAGGATTGTGTACATGAAAGTAGTTATAATTTGAAATAAAGGACTTTTTAAAAAAATTTTCTTTCTAGAATTATTTATTTCATTTTATTTAGTAGTAGTTTTTAAAATTTGCTGTAGAGTACATGTGCTCACCGGTGAGAGGGAAAGGGAAAGTGAGAAAGCAAGCTGCCAAGTCTGGGACTTGAATTGCAGTTGACCATGTGGGAGTCCAGCCCCTTAACTACAACACAACCTGCTGACCGCAGGATCTTTTTTTATTGATTGATTGATCGATCGATCGATTGATTGAGGTTTTTGCCTTAGGGTGCTTGCGTTCACCAGACAGAGACAGTCCGACCATGGTTCGAGTCCTGGACCTGGTGGCTTCCTTTCTCTCTCTGTGTCTGTCTGTCTGTCTCTTTGGTCAAATTAAAATAAATCAATGAATATATAAAATAAATAATTTTCTATTAAAAAAAATAGACCTAAAGTGAAAAATAAAACAAATGACAGAGGATTGTGTACATGAAAGTAGTTATAATTTGAAATAAAGGACTTTTTAAAAAAATTTTCTTTCTAGAATTATTTATTTCATTTTATTTAGTAGTAGTTTTTAAAATTTGCTGTAGAGTACATGTGCTCACCGGTGAGAGGGAAAGGGAAAGTGAGAAAGCAAGCTGCCAAGTCTGGGACTTGAATTGCAGTTGACCATGTGGGAGTCCAGCCCCTTAACTACAACACAACCTGCTGACCGCAGGATCTTTTTTTATTGATTGATTGATCGATCGATCGATTGATTGAGGTTTTTGCCTTAGGGTGCTTGCGTTCACCAGACAGAGACAGTGAGAGGGAAAGTGAGAAACCCTCCCCCCCCAGGGGGAATATCCATGCTGCAATCCCTTCTCCATTATCCCAGAAACTTGGGCACGCATGCACATGTGCCTGCTGTGATTTTCAAGCCACTGACCAGGTCCAGGGCTCAAACCACCGTTGGCTCTGTGTGAGTCCAGAGACAAACTCACCATGCCATCTGCTGGTCCCCAGGATCTCTTTAAAAATCAAAACAGTGTAATTTTTAAATGGAAAAGTTTCATGGAGCTCACTACTTCAGGATTCAATAAAAGGCCCCATACAGAGTAGCACCAAGTTTTCATTCAGGGTTTTGCTGACTGTGGCACCTATACTCATACTTCCTCTACCTCAAAGTTTTCCATTAAGAATGACAAATGCCCTTGTTAACCTACCCAGAACCCTAATCCTCAGAGTTCCCTTCAATTTTTATGATTTAAACTCCATTTTCATCATCCCCTCCATAGTCTTAATTTGAAGTTTTCACCTTATTATTATTAGAGTTGCAAAGTTGTTAAAGGCTAATAACTTCTTTCAGAGTACTCTCATATCCACATACTCATTGAATTACTCTTCAGTCAGGTTTACCCACTATTACTGGAATCTTCATGTTTTCCCTATTCCCTAAACTGGATTCACTTTCCTTTACAGCCTGGATCTCAGTACCCACCATATTAGCCACTTTTGCCAGCAATCTCTATACTTTGCATGTCCCCACTTGTAAATACCCACTGACTACTTTACAGCTCTTGATTTATCCAACCAGCCCTCTCTGCTGTTATATTTGAGTGCTGTCATTGCATACCACTTAAAAATTAATGTCTTGGGGCCAGCAGTTGGTGTGGTAGTTAAGGGTGCTGGATTCTCACGTGGTTGACCACAATTTGAGTTCCAGACATGGGAGCCTGCTTTCTCACTTTGCTTCTCTCTCGTTCTTGCTCTCTTTC